CCAAGTGCAATGATATATCGCCTGTCCAGATCGATAAATTCTTGCCATTGCATGTGGGGCAGTATCTCTATAAAAAAAAACTGGAAAAAAAAAGAGAGAACGAGGAGGGAGGGAAAATTCCGTCCAGTACACTCGGAACTGGCGGTATTTCCATTTCACCGTCTCAATCCTCTCACCTAGGTCACCAGGCGACATGACTTTGACCGTATACGGTTGACCTTCGGTCCCTTCTTGCTGCCCCTCCAACGACATCTCTTGGATGTTAGTGATCGCCATCGGATCCTGGGTGTTTGTGATTCTCGGCATCCTCGGCCCGCTAACGTGAACGTGTAATTTCTGATTCGTAATGTCTTCGGGAGTGATCACCGGTGATGGACGCGTCCTATAAGGTGTAGTAGTTGTGCATGAGCAACTGGAACAAGGTTGTGAGTGTTGCACGCAGGCGAGCTTACATAACAAAGCCTCCCGATCGGATTCGGGACCCCGTGTCCCGAAGGTAGGGTTCCGATCCGGGCCTACGGGTTCGGGTATCGCCTTCCCGAGATCCGAACTCGACATATCCGGTGTGGTAGTCAAAAATGTGAAAATTCAAAGTTTTTTCCCTTTCTTTTTTCTTATATATATTTTCTTCATATTATCACCCAATCTCTCTCAGAAATCACACCATACGGCTCAAGAACTGGACTCTACGGATAAATTCACCCTTGGTCACCACAAAGGCGTCACTGGAACACACCTGGATCAATTCTTACCCAACACTGGACAACATATCACAAGGATTTCACCCATCATTACATATCACCAAACCCAATTACAACCCTCAAGCTACACAGACACCCTCAGTACAGTACACACTCATTTACATACACACTCATTTACATACATCTACACTCTTTACATTTCACTTTTACATATTACATCATACCGCAGCCTAAATTAGTGTATTTTCCATGCATGACAGCTGCAGCTTACACCACCACACTCACTTGTAAACACATCAGAACCTGACCAATCAGAATCACTCATTCAGCTGCTCGGATCACCACTTCAACTCTTGTACATGTCTGACCAATCACATTCACTCATTCAAATTTTGTATGTAGCTAAAAATACCTCATGTAATAGCCCAGGCCAGCCAAAATCACTCATTACTGGCTGCCCTGGAGCTAAATTCCCTCACTGTTGTATATATAAGGAGGCTCTCCTCCCAGTTGTTTAATCCTCAGTCAAGTAACACTCAAGGAATATTTGACCACCTTTACACAAACACTTTAAAGCGCCAACCAACCCACATCAACAACTCTTCATCACACAACTCAATCCTGAACTTTACCCTATCACTTGATTAAAACTTTCCAAGCTAAGCTTGGTGGGTCTTGTTATCTGATAGTATAGAAGGGCAGAGCTTGCACCTCCACCATCCCCTTCTCAATTCAGCAAAAAGGGTCTTACAACCACTTTTTGAGTCTTACAAGGGAGTCCCCAACGTGATAGGATAAACTTGTGTGATCTACATCAAGTAATCAAATTTCAACAAATAACGAGAAGGAATCGTCAAAGGATCACTAACTTCAGCGGGAACCGGATCAAATTTATCAACCATATTTGCGACTACTCAGCGGCATATTCAGTTATTCTGTTGATCAACTAGTCAAACTTCAACAAACAATTCAACGACACCACCGACCAACCTCTGAAAAGAACGTGTAGGAATCGACTGAAACGAGGACTCGAAGAAGACAGCCAGTTATTAACCAGAAGAAGGAAGATTATCGAAGGATCTGGATAACTAGGATACTGTTCAACGACAACTCAGGAAATATTCGAAAAAATCAGCTGCTTATAGACCAAAAGAAGGGCAAAGGTACCCAAAGGATTTGGATAAGTAGATTCTGTAAAAGAAGAATTCCCAGTATTTAACTGATCTATTATTTAAAAGAAAGCCATAAGCTTGCCCTGGTAAAGAAACCAGTGACCAAAGTTTTATTTGTTTCTTTTTCAGAGCAACTATTTGTTTAGGTATCCGAGGAGCGTCAAGTAAGGAAAACTAGGAAAATCAATCAAAATCAACATGGATCTACCGTTTGGTGTATCAGATATGGAACAATCATTTGCTCCACAAACCAATTATATTAAACGACCTTTTTCGCCAACTTCAAATTTAAAACAAAATACGGAAACTACAATGTCCTTATCAGCGCTATCACCACCTTGGATGAAGAACAAGAAGACGGGAAATCTGCCTATATTCAGAACTGGAATTGACAAGACCCTAGATATGGACGAACCAATTTATCAACAAACCAAACAACAGGAACCAATTTATCAACAACCAACTAACCAAAACAAACCAGTTTTAATTGAACAACCTGGACTTTTCTACAACGGACACCATTTCATGCAATTCTTGAGGCAATACGAGATGACCGCTGTGGAACTCCTATCGTGCCAGGCGGTAGGCAGTTGGTTGAAGGGAAAGTGCTTTGAGGGCTGCCTTCAAGTGGGGTCTGGATGAGTGAGCTGTGATCTGAACAAAAAGCGTTGGGGTTGGCTGGTTTTCTGAGAGGAGACAACAGAATTCGATTTCTGTGGCGGTTGTTGAGGTTGAGGATATGTGAAGGTGAGTATGAGGATCAGATGAATCAATAATAAAAAGATCAATAAGAAATGATGGGTCTATCTTGGATCAGATCAGAGTGCCATGCTTCCCCATCATCTCAGTTCAAACTGAACTTTGACTCTGGGGAGTGACATGTCATCACATCCCTAACTACAACACAACTCAACCAAAAAACAAAAACAAGACCACACTACACAACACTACACAACACAACACACACAACACAACACACACAACAGAACACACAACAGAACAGAAGAAGAACACAGAATAGAACAAACAAACAAGATCAGAATAAACCAACATAAATGAAACTATGTCTTAGGACCAAGAAATAAGAAACAACACTGTCTTCTGAGTAAATGATTTGAAAAAGATAAGTAAGAATAATAAAATGATAAAAAATAAAAATAAAATAAAGTCTAGATGAATAAAAAATAACATGAAGAGTAAATAATAAGAGGAAATGGAATAAAATAATAAAATGAGGAAACCATTGGACTGAGTGGGGATTTGAGGTGATAATATTGAAATCTTGAGTCTTGAGGATATTGAAGAGTTGAAAGTTGAATTCTGAAATTGGACCTTGAGGGGGCCTGTACCGTTTAGAACACCACACCGGAGTCGATGAAAGCCGTTACAATGATCATTCTTCCCAACGTTTGCAGATATTCGCAGGTTGTTTTGAGCCTTCCTCAGAGCGAAATGGGTGATCCGGCCCAGGCAATTGTCAAACAGGGCACCAAGATTCATGAGAGCGTCGATTTTTTCCTGGCGGTGGCTTGTGCTTATCTCGTGTACTTGTTTTTCAATTGCGTTGGTAATCATTTTGATGGTGGAGTTGAGGGATTGATTCGGACCGAGAAGATGTGATTTGACAAATGAGTGCGACGATTCGATACGAGATGTTGTCCGGTGATCGAAATGGGTAACTTCCCTTGTCCAGGCGTTCACATATTTCTCCGCCACTGGGAGCCAGTTTGAGCGCATGTACTTGCCAAATTTGTCGCCATAACTTCCAGCAAATTGGTCAAACGCAGCCCTAAAGTCGCCGGTGGTCATGATGTTGATGACATTCTTCCGGTGTTGGATCATATCGGCCTCTTTCTTCTTGTCCTTGATCATCTTGGCGCCGTTAGAAACCAAGTTTTTGTTGATGTGCCAGGTACACAGTAGATGCTTCGTTGTGGGGAAAACGGAGTCGAGACTGTTCATAAGAGCTTGTTCCCGGTTGGTCAAGACTACCTCAGGTATCGGAATGTCGTTGCTGGTGAACACATTGAGCAGGGATTGAAGAGCCCATTCGTAGTATGTGATGAAATTATGACCGAAGACGTGGAGAATTTTTTGAGAGGAAAGATTTTTGGGGGCAACAAAAAATGAGTTTTTGTTGGACTGACTCAAGGATTGGGAAAAGAATGAGAGAGAGCCAATGATTTTTATTTGCTTAGTAGAGCCTACGCGTTAAATAGACTACGTACATCAAGTTCAATCTGTGGTTCTGAGAGAAAAATGAATATCATAATGAATAACAAAAATCAACAAATTCTTGAATAGATGACTGGAGTAAATGACTATTGATAAAGACTAGACCAGGGTTCGAAGACTACAAGGATTGCAGCACTAGACAATAAGACAAGAGACCACACAGAAACTAACAACAATTGTATAATAATTTGAATTCTATTATTTAATCATTATTAATTAAAGGACTAAACAGAACAGGATTTTTAGGGATGAGGAGAGAGAGAGATGAAATTCCAACAGTCTGCAGGAAGTCTGCTGGGGAGAAATTACAACTGGGAGGCAGGGCCTCCTTATATAGACAACAATGAGGTATTTTGGCTCCAGGGGAGCCAGGAATGAGGGATTTTGGCTAGTTGTACAGCCTTACATGAGGGAATTTGGCCAAGATGGAAGAATACATGAGGGGTTTTGGCTGGTGGGTACAGCCTACATGATGTGATTTGAGAAGTTGAGTGGTTTCCGTCGGATAGACAAGCTGTGCAACAGTTGCTATGCAACCTAGCAACCTGCAGGCTGTGTTCTGTAAGCCGCATGATGTCATCCTGTATTTGAGGCTGTACGCATTGCATGACAGGTTGCCAAGGTAACCTGTATGCTGTGCCTGCATACTTCCATTGTACTTGCTTGAGATGTACAGATGCCAGTTCACATGGCCCAGAGGGGTGAAATGTGTACCTGATATCCTTGTAACATGTAAGGGTGCTTGACCCCCCTACCTGTGAGTGAAAGAGGGGTGTAACATGTAACACAGAGGGGTTACATGTACCCAAGCCTGCTCCTCTAGGGTAATTTTGGCCCTGGAATCCCTTCCTGGAGCCATATTTGGTGTAATATTATTGTATATACAAGAAAATATAAAATTTTTGAAGTTGTTGGATGGGAACCCATAAAGTATCCCACAACGTGCAAAAATCAACATCAAATATTTTTGTCACAAGCTTCAGATCATTGGATCCTACCCGCATGATTGGATAGGAAATTATAAAATATGTCACGGTGTAGTTCAAAAGACTCAGTGTTAAAATTAACAATGTATTTTGCAGACAGTTAGCATAAAATGATTGACTTGGGCAGGATTTGAACCAGCGACCTTAGCTTGAAGCTAAGACACTATACTAGAAGTGCTGCCTTTACCAACTAGGCTACCAAGTCCATGCCTGATGTGCTGATATTTAGAACACTGTGGATTACAGAATTTCAACACACCTCCTTAATCCACAGTGGGAGAACAGGAGACCCTAATGTCAACCATTTCTAAGCTAGTCTATACATGGATAATGCATATTGCATAAGCGGATTTTGCATATTGCATAATAACATTTTGCATATTCCCAAGAAGTAGGATTTTATATTTCCCAAAGTTGCATATTGCATAAGTGCATATTGCATAATCTCATGTAAATGCATAGTATGCGCATAGCACATTTTGACTGTTAATCGTGTTAAAATTAACAATGTATTTTGCAGACAGTTAGCATAAAATGATTGACTTGGGCAGGATTTGAACCAGCGACCTTAGCTTGAAGCTAACACTACGGACAAATAGGTGTCGCTGCGGTGCGCAGCGTCACCCGGACGTTTCAATTCAAACTGCATCCTCATGCTACGTCACCAGAAGCGACAGCTCACAGTATGCAGCGACAGATTACGGATCCCACTTGATCCTGGTAGAGATTCGGCGCAGTCTTTGATAGATTTGACCAGCAAAGCTCGTTCACCCTGACTGGCCAGCGAGAAGCCTTCAAGACCATTGCACACCTTGATCAGCCGATTCTCCCTGAAGAACGCACCAGCAACCCCGCCCCCGCCCTCGCCCTCGCCGCTCCCAAATCCCATTTCCCAAAACGCTTCGGCCTTCAACCTGCTCTTGGGATTTGCCAATGCCAAGCGACAAGCTGCCGAGAAGAGCGCCGGTGGGATGCTCCCGTGTTGTTGGGAACTTACATCGACACTTGGCGGGAGATTGTTGAATAGCGTCTGGATTAATAGATATAACTGGTATGAGTCCAAACATGACGGATCTAGCCTAGAAAATTGTCAACCTGGAGGCACATATCAGTTCGAATGCAGTCATCTTTGCGCCTCGATTGTAATGAACAAAATCAAACCGCACTTACTCTTTCAACACTTCGTAACCTGTTTTCATTAGCTCAGGACTGGCATACCTGGCGGATTCTGGAAACAATCCTCCAAGAGTCTGTAGGAATTATCAGAAAATTGCGAGTCGCTTTGAAGAAGTAATTGCTGTTTTATTGAAGTTGAAAGGTAGGTGGAGGTGACCAACGTAGAGGATTGGTTGAGGGTCTTTCGGACTACTCAAGACCTCAAAACCAGATAGCTTCCATTCCCCAGATTGAGTGATAAAGACCAAGGTGAGTCTGAGGTTTCCATGGGTGGATGCACCAGTACCATTCAAAAATTTCAAGGCTGACTATCAAAGAATGACAACGAGTCCAATAAGCCATCCTGAATGCTTCCTTTCTTGGGATGTCTATTTTTTTTTCTCCCCATAAATATCGTTTTCTGTGTCAAGTGAACACTCATTGAACACATGCTACCTTTGTTGATTCATCCACAGCCAACTGAGAGTCAGAAATGTGGGTTGATTGGAAGTCCTACAGCCTACGGTCATAATTTGCTCATTATGGGCCTATATCTTTGGAGCATGTTCTGACCAAGGAAAGTGCCGATGTTAACTTTGTCATTCATCCAAGAATTTAGAACACCTAGCGGAGCTCATTCTTCCTTGTCTTAGGCATGTACTTTAGATCTTATCGCTCAGCTACCGCCTCTTCCAAAACCAGGAGACATCTGGTGGCCCACGAGCACCAGAAAGCTTTTAGACACTCGCTTTCAAAACTTGATCGATGTGCGAGTGAGTGTCCTTATATTTCCAAAACGTATGTTATTGTTTTTGCAAAAAAAATGCTTCAGGCTTACTCCGGGTAGAGCTGTTGAGCAACCGGTCCTACAACCTGACTGACCCAGAGAAGTGTTTCCTGGAGGAAGTCCCCTTGCTTGATCAGTTCAGACAAGCAGATAGACTGTAAGGATCCAGGCTGAGCAGTTTATATGACCTGATTGACTGAGATCATCACGATTCACAGTCGATCAGTGTACGAGGTGGGTGCTGGTTGTTTGAGGTGATCATAGAGGGTGCTGTCACTGTGAGGGGGCTGGTGTGCTAACTTAACCAGAGTCGGAGAGTTTTAAAGTCTTCTACATACATGGCGGAGAGAACCCTTCTTCCGATTCACATCTCAGCGGAGCACTCCTCAATATGATACATAGTTCAAATTTCTCTTTATCAGATACATGGATTGATCATATAACAAAAAAAACCCAAAAAAACTACTAT